AAGGACTGAAAATTTCAGAGTGAGCACCTGTGTAAACAACTCTTCTTTTATCAGTCCTGGCTGAGCCAGTAACCTTAGAGAGCAACCTTTTCCAAACATTCAATCAGACAAAAAATAGAAACAAAGTTTCAAAGCGTCTAGGTGGCAGTGTTAGTTATCCAAAGCTTTCCCTCTCTGTATTACGTTCTCTGCCTTATTAAGAGAAAAGAAAAAAATAAATAAAAAAAGCCAAATGAGAAACGCTGTATATAAAAAAAGGCTCCTTCCGAAAAGTGGAACAATAGAACTTAGTTATCAAACAGTCCAAAAAGTAAAAGGCAAGAAAAAGAAAAAAGCCCGCTTCATTTAACATTGCGCTGATTAGAAAGTCCAATCAGTCTTCCAACAATAAAAAGGAGGGGAAAAACCTTCACTTTCACTGTAGCCTTATGTTCGCCTCTTACTCTCTCTCATCAGTCTTTATCTTAAATTAGTTCTCTTCATTTAGGATGTTCTCATAAATCAGAAAAAAGGTAAAAATCTCACCATGAACGATGCGCTCTTTCCTGCACTTTCACTTCCAAAGCTGTCAGCAGTTTCTAATGGCTGCTTCCGAGCCACTGGCAAAAGGGCTATTCCTGGATCACCAGAGACTTTGCGGGTGTCTCTGGGATCGGCAGGATATGCCTCTTCCTATCACCGTCTCTTTGGGATGGTTTAGGTCCAGTTGGACCGTCCTCCAGCTGGAATTTCGGCGGCGGTCTCGGAGCCCCGAGATTGACTATCGTGTCACCGCTACGTTAGCTTCCGGTCAGCCTTTTTGACTTTTAATCTCTTTTTGCTGGTGTACGTTTTTCCTATCTTGTTTCCATTTTTATACATATTTATTTTAACGTTTTTTGTCTTTTATCATGCCTGATTCTTGAAGATTGCCAGAAAACATCCCTGCAGTTTTCTTGCCCTTATATTTTTCCTTGCAGTGGTGAAATTCAGCAGGCTCTGATAGGTTCTGGAGAACCAGCAGCGAAAATTTTGAGTAGTTCGGAGAATCAACAAATACCACCTCTGGCTGGCCACACAGTGGGGTGGGAATGGAGATTTTGCACTATCCTTCCCCTGGAGTGGAGAGGGAATGGAGATTTTGCAGTATCCTTCCCCTGGAGTGGGGAGGGAATGAGGATTTTTGCATTATCCTTCTCCTGGAGTGCGGTGGGAATAGAGATTTTGCAGTATCCTTCCCCTGGAGTGGGGAGGGAATGGGGATTTTGCATTATCCTTCTCCTGGAGTGGGGTGGGAATGGAGATTTTGCAGTATCCTTCCCCTGGAGTGGAGAGGGAATGGGGATTTTGCATTATCCTCCTGGAGTGGGGTGGGAATGGAGATTTTGCAGTATCCTTCCCCTGGAGTGGGGAGGGAATGGGGATTTTGCATTATCCTTCTCCTGGAGTGGGGAGGGAATGGGGATTTTGCATTATCCTTCNCAGCTGGTGGCTCGGCGTCAAAAGTCCTCCTATAACTACCTTCTAGCTCTCGCGGTGGCTGATTTGCTAGTCCTTTTCTTCATCGTCTTTGTCGACTTCCTGTTGGAAGACTTCATCTTGAAGGAGAAGATGCCTGACATCCTGGACAAAATTATCGAGGTGTTAGAGTTCTCCTCCATCCATACTTCCATCTGGATTACCGTACCGCTCACGATCGACCGATACATCGCCGTCTGTCATCCCTTGAAATACCACATGGTTTCCTATCCCGCTCGCACCCGCAAAGTCATTGTGAGTGTTTATATCATTTGCTTTCTAACCAGCATCCCGTACTACTGGTGGCCGAACATCTGGAAGGAAGACTACACCAGTACGCTGGTTCACCACATCCTCATCTGGAGCCACTGCTTCACCATCTATCTGGTCCCTTGCTCCATCTTCTTCGTCTTGAACTCCATCATCGTCTACAAGCTCCGGCAGAAGTGCAACTTCCGGCTGCGGGGCTATTCCACCGGGAAGACCACCGCCATCTTGTTCACCATCACCTCCATTTTCGCCGTCCTCTGGGCCCCGAGGATTATCATGATCCTGTACCACCTTTACGTCTCCCCCATCCACAACAGCTGGTCCATCCACATCGTCTCCGACGTGGCCAACATGTTGGCGTTGCTCAACACCGCCATCAACTTCTTCCTGTACTGTTTCATCAGCAAGCGGTTTCGCACCATGGCGGCCGTAATGCTGAAGGCGTTCTTCCGGTGCCAGAAGCAGCCCGTCCAGTTCTACACAAACCATAACTTTTCAATAACTAGCAGCCCATGGATATCCCCGGCCAACTCCCACTGCATCAAAATGTTTGTCTACCAATATGATAAAAACGGGAAACCTATAAAGATCTCTCCGTGACGGACCCGTGATGGATGGTCCATGGAAGCTCCTTCTTTTTAAAGCTGGTTCCGACGATGACGCGGAAGAGCTGGGGATAAATCGCTTGCAAATAGCAGCCATTGGATTTTGCTCCTCTCCAAGCATTGGAAGATATAAACAGGCTGCCATCGTTTATAAGGCGTCTCTGGACACCTGCAGGAGAACCAAAGGAGAGGCGGAAAGCTTCACGGCTTCAGCTCTTGCAAGGCTTGATCCATAGCCTTGGATCGAAAGATCTACAGGACCGGAGAGATGGTCCGTTGTCTTGTGTGGGGACTTGGGTGAAAAGCGTAGAGTGCAACTTTCAGTTAAGCCTCTCTCTCTCTCTCTCTTGCTCTCTCTCCCTAACCAAACACTTCCGAAGATGTAGAAATCTGAACATTTATTTATATATTCCATAGGCTCCAATGTGGAGGTTTTGATGGGATTCTAAGCCGTTGCTTGCTCCTTTTCCAGTTTCGGTTGGGTTATTTTCCTCATGGCATGAAATCTGATTACTTGGATGCTTGGGCACGCAATGTAAAGGAAATTAGCCATCTTTAGAATATTGGTATGGCGCATAGGCTAATTTTTGGAGGTTTCATTGGAAGAACTATTCATACTTAGAAGGATGGGGGAATCACTTTCTCATTTGCTTGGTTTTTTCTTCCCCCATCTTGACATGGAAAACCTCTGGAGTGGACAGTTGGAACACTGAGTAAATTCCAGAGCCATCCTTAGAATATTTGTATGGTGTTATAAGCTAAACACTGCAACTTCATCGGAAGAAGGATTAATTCTTGGAAGGAACCCCTTTCTTAACACTAGCTTGCGATACAACGTGAAAACTCTTGAGTCTTACCGATTTACATTCTGAGCAACATCCAAGCTAGATTTAAAAACTCAAGGAATTTTCCTGAGCAAAAGAATAAGAACAATCACATTTGTTATTGGTACACATTTTTGTTTTGCTTAGTTTAAAAAAAAACAACAACTATCAATCTCCAGCCCGGATGGGCATTTTCTTCCTTTTTTAAGGCACCCAAGTCATTGGTGATTTTTATGGACTCCATGAAGTTCTTGGGAGTTAGTTGAAGTTTTCAAGGGGTGAGTTTAGATTAGTCTGCATAGATTGGAAAATGGAGAATGTACACACAATGGAATACAACGGGGTTGTGTGTGTGTGTGTGTGTTTGCGTGCGTGAATTCAAATATTTAACTCTTCACCTTCATCAACAGAGGCGCACCCCCCCAAAAAATCTCTTTATGGAAACGGCTTTTTTTAGTTTTCCATGGACTGAGACTCTGTTACTTGAATGAAGGACTTCTAATTGTCGTAAGAAGCCTTGACAAAAATCAGATGGTGTGGGATGAGCTGAAGAAAGTGAAAACACCAAAGTTATTGGATATTTGTAAAAACAAAACAAAAAAACCCGCAGAGAAAATCTGTGCCACGTCCCTCACCTCTCGTCCCCGAAGAATTATTTTGGACTGTTAACGTCTGCCTTAGAAAACACGGAAAATAATAATATTTGGGGTGACATGCGCCACTTCATGTGGTGGAATCCCGAGGGAAACAGTAACCACTCGAATGTATCACTTTAGTGCATGCTTCCAATCAAGTTATCTTTTTTTTTCTTTTCAACCAGCTAATCGTTTTTATTGACGATCACATTACAGTTATACAATCTACATAGCATAGAAATATGTAAAAAAGAAAAGAAAAAGGGTTTATAGAAATGCAAAAAAGATAAAACAAGAATAAGAAATTCCCCCTTCATCCACAGAAAGTATAATCAACACGAGCAACTCATTACTATTTCCTATAGTAAAACCAAACGTCTCTTCATCCCACACCTCACTTTATTCTCTAGAAACCAATCTCTAAATCTTCATCTCTCCATATTAATCAGAAAGTTTGCTAAGGGTTTTCACAAATAACAATATGCTAAACTCAGTTTGAATGGTTCCTTTTCTTTTCATAATTCCTTTTCTATTTAAACAAATCTCCCTGATTCCTCTCTTCATATAAACAAAATCTTTAAAGCATCATCATCCAGTCCCATCAACAAGCCATTAAACATTCTGTGAAATGGCAACTCGTGTGTTTTAATCAAGTTATCTATTACCAACCCAGATCTGCAACCTAGAACTTTTAGAAATAGCATGGAGAGTCCTTGACTTACGACCACAATTAGGAGCAGAATTCCCGGTGCTAAGCAAGGCGGTTCAGTGAATCATGCTGAGTTTTATGGGTTTTTTGAGGGGGAGGGCAGCTGCTTACAACCTTTTGGGCACCAGTTCTGCAGAGAATGATTTTTTCCCACGGAATGGAGGGAGCATGATTTTGTGTGTTGCCTGCATCTCACAAGTGGGGCTTCACTTGTTCGCCCGGCCCGGTTTCTGACATGCCGTGAACCGTTGCCGATCTACGGACCAAGGGTTGAGGACCCATGTTTTATGGCAATTAAGACATTCAGTCTCTAAGGAATTAAGTAATATACAGGGGGTCATACCCCCAGTGGTGGGATTCAAATAATTTAACAACTGGTTCTCTGCCCTAATGACCAGTTGGGAAGGCGTGGCTCGGTGGTCATGTGATTGGGTGGGTGTGGCCAACTCAACGCCACTCAGGTCGATGGGCGCTTCGCCTTAGCTGTGACAATGTCATAAGGGTTAACCGGAGAGGCAGTTTCTGTAAGCACGTCAAGAAAGATGAGGCTAGGAACAACACCAGAATGTTCCCTTCCTGCCTTCCTTACAGGATTAGCCCTGGAAAGTGGGGAAAAAAACAAAAGGAGATTTCTTCCAACAACCAGTTCTCCGAACTGCTTAGAAAGTTAACAACCGATTCTCCCGAATAGGTGCAAACCGGCTGAATCTCACCACTGCATAAATCCTTTCTTTCTAGCAAGAATGATGCCCATTTGAAAAGGAAAGGACATTATTGGTTCAGTTGAGGCCAACGTCTATAGGTGTAGAACTTGTAGAAACAGAGAGTTGGGAAACCAGCCAACCAACCAATCCCAAGGCAGAAACTCTCAGCTCTGTAAAATTCTCCAGTAATAGAGACCTCCCACCCCAGGGGTGAAATGCAACAGGTTCTGGAGAACCGGTAGTGGAAATTTTGAGTAGTTCAGAGAACCGACAAATGCCACCTCTGGCTGGCCCAAGAGTGGGGTGGGAATGGAGATTTTGTGGTATCCTTTCCCCTGTCACGCCCACCAAGCCACATCACGCCCACCAAGCCTTGCCCACAGAACCAGTAGTAAAAAAAATTGAACTTCACCAATGCCCCCGCACCCATGTCTTCAGAGGCACGAGGTTACTAGTGTTGGAGGGATACAGAAAGTCTGCTATTGATCCCATTTAATGAGAGGTTTTTCAGAAACAGCATCTCCTCTTCTCCAATTTCGCTTCTCCAGGCACCTGTGATCATGCCAGGGTTGTGTGCGCGCAGGTGTGTGCAACTGTTTAGGTATAGGCATGTGTCACACAGCACGGTTAACCTCCGATTGTTCCTCACATCCCCATATCTACAGTAGAAATACACCCATGCGCACACGCCAGCATGAGATGGTTTCTTAACATTA